AGCTCAGATACCTCAGAAGGAGACGAACCTCCAGGGAACACAGAGGACTTAAAACTTTGTTATCTAAGAAGCAAGCCACCTCCTCTGTCCTCCCCAATAGAACAAAAGTCATGCTAGAATGTTATTTAAAAACAATCACGTATTAAACAAATATGCATGAAAACACTTAAGAATCTGAATGAGATTCAAGCACACACAATGCCTGTACTCTTTTGGGCTGGTTACCTGAGAGGTACAGCTTGAATAAAGACAATAAAATATCGGCTAGTGGTAAATGAAGTGGAATGTCAGTCTCGATAGCAGCGGTTCGCGACCCTGTAGGTCACGACCCCCTTGGGGGTCAAACGACCCTTTCATAACAGCAGCAAAATTACAGTTATGAAGTAACTAAAATAATTTTATGGTTGGGTGGGTCACCACAACATGAGGAACTGTATTAAAGAGTTGCGACATTAGGAAGGTTAAGAACGACTGGTCTATGGACTGTTGTTTCTGGGAAATTAGTATAAAGATCACAGTGTGATAAGCTCCAAGAAGATTTCCAATACACAGTTCAAGTCACGTGCTTGAGTTCTGAGGCCAGGAAGGAAGTTCTGATCACTTTGTGTTTCCCTAGCTTTCCCTACACATACAAGGCCTCCTAGGAGGAGTTTCCATCCTCAACATGGTGTCACGGACAAGCATTCCGGAGCCTCCATTTCCCGTTTCAGTGGTATCATCAGTGAGCCTCTGCTCTAGATCTTACCTCTCTGATTCATAGTTCTTTCATCATACGTGTGAGTTGGGATTCAATTATCCCTCCACGTATTTACTCTAAATCCTGAGGTTCTACGTTATGCAAGGGATAAGGGCCCACCACCACAATATCAGCAGGACTTAGCCCCTTACTTTTCTTTCCTTTATCCTGACCCCAGGTGATAGCTACCCAGGAGAAAGGCACTACTCCTGCCAGGCCACGCACGCCAGTGATCACTCGTCTTGTACTTAAGCGTCCCCAAATGGCAACATTTCTGTACAAACAGCTACATCTGTGGTGCTAATGCAGGGTTGCCTCCCTGATTGTAGTCATGAGCTGCCAGCCCAGACCCAGGGAGCCAAGAGCCTGCAGATCCAATTCTCATCATGCCCAGATTGATGGTGGGCTTCCTAGCTCCTCATCTATGATGGGCATTGTACACCATGATGCCAGAATGGCTCTAAATCACATGTGATTTAAGTCAGTGATGCTGGTCTGGCCATGATAACAAATGGATGTGGGGAAGGAAAACCCACAGGTCTGTAAAACCTGGTAGTGTCTCTAGTTTCATTTGGCTGGTTTACATATGGCAAACAAAAGCAATTTTGTTGAAATAAAGCTAAGGTTAAAAATTCTATATTTCTATATATTATATGCACATGTTCCATAAGTAACAGAAATAATAACTTTATGGAATATGTACACATAATATATAGGATTATAGCTTTTGTATATCATTATGTGTATGTATTCCACAAAGTTATAGAACTATTTAACAGGGTGTCATGGGCAAGTTTTAGAACTATAACTTTATTGTAAAGTTGTATACTGAAATATAACCTTCCAGAATACATACGTATACCAAAAGATGAAACATTTTTTTATGTGGCTATTTTGCAATGAATTGGTCTGGATGATTTTTGTTATTAGATAGTACCCATGTCTATACTGCTATTATTAAGAAGATTGTTAGATTTCTTCATTAATTCCTTATTTCAGAAGTTGTCATTGTACTGTTTTGGTCAAAGTCATCTAAATGGCCATAGTAATCAAACAGTGAGTGTTCATAACCACTGCTGGCCACTCAATTCTAACTCCCAGTGACCCTCTGGGACGGGACAGAGCTGTGTCATGGGGTTTCCAAGGTTGTAAATCTCTTTGGACGCACTCTGCCACTCACGTCTCTGGCAGAGATGTTGGTGGGTTTGAACTACCCACCGTTCAGTAAGCAGATGAGCTAACAGAGCTCCTTACCTAGTATTCAGAGACTGGGAATACCCCAGCTGACAAGGCCATTCTAATGCAAATTCTAGTGAAGCTGTATCACAGCCTAGTAGCCAGAAAGGTCATTGTTCTTGCATTGTGGAATAGAAGAGAGAGGGTTTGAGGTTGCAGGAGAAGAGCAGGTGGGTTGTGGTCATCTGAGCATCTGACCAGTTGATAGCAGGGTCAGGACCAAAGGCTAGGGCTCATGTTCAGATTTTCTCATAGGAATGACTCACCCCTGCACTCTTCTGTCTAATTAGCTGGTCAGCAACGGTGATGTAATCAACAGACACAACACTCCACATGAGCCTGGTGCACCAGGTGCTGACCTTGAATGCGAGCCAAAAGCCTGTAATAGAGGTTAGCGATGTTTAGCCAGGCGGGGAACATTCACTTCGCTGCTTTTCTCAAGACAGTCCACTTATGTATTTAACAGATCCCAAAGATTGAGCAGACCTTTTCTGGGTGCTAATGCTCTTTCTTGGAAGCGAAGATTTTCCGTTTGTGTGTGTTGTTTTCCTCTGCCAGCCTGGACCGGGTCTCACGCACAGTCACTCCGGTGGTCTGTGCCCTCAGCTCTGTTGGCTGCTAAGAACAAGGAGCATGGTGATGCTGGACTTTTCCAGACTTGGTTCTGCCGTCTCTCATTCTGTCTTCTTAGCCCCAATCTGAAGGCAAAAATTCAACAGCAAAAGCACGTTCTTGATAGTGGTATTGGAGTTTCAAGACTAAACCGTTTGATTCAGACTCATAGTGACCCTGTTGGACGAGCTAAAAATGGTCCTGCGGGTTTCCAATACTGTAAATCTTTACGGGAGTAAAAAGCCTCCTCTCTCCCTCAGAGTAGTGGTTGGTGGGTTCGAACTGCTGACCTTGTAGTTAGCAGCCCAACCCATAAACCTTCTACGCTACCAAGGCACCTTCATGAATTACAGAGGTTACCCAGGGCCCTAGGACGAGAATGTCCCTATTGAGGACAAGGGGCCTCCATCTAAGGACCTAAGATGACCTGGCGATTTAGGGTTGTCTGTACTGCTCGTAGGAAGCCACCCCCCACCCCACCCCCCACTGAATTAATAATGAATGAGTTATCTTCAAGTAAACATATTTTCTCCTTTCATCTAGGAACTACACCTTGCGCTTTATGCCAATTCCTATGTACGACGCTGCTCAAGCCCTCAAAACAAACCCCGAAAAAACAGAAGAGGCTCTGCAGAAGGTATCGGAGAATTCATTTCAGTACATTCACATTGGAACTGAATTGCATTGATAACAATTCGGAATGTATGAACAGTCCTTTGTGCTTTGCAAAACTTTGCTCACATTATCTTGTGTTATTCTGATCGCATCTGACACACATAATGCGTGAAGAAAAGAAAGAAGACTATAACTTGTCACAGGACATAAATGGAATAAAATAGCATTCTTAGAACATCCACTTGTCAGCGCTTAAGCATAAGTAACTTCCCGACCATACTTTGGAGCCAAGTGGGACTGAATGTCATCGCCTGTAACCACCACCCCCTCATTCCCGCTGGCTAGAACCTTGCAGTCTTTCTCACGGAGGACTTTATGTCCTTACTGGGGTCTCTTGCCACATTTTTTGTCTAAAAAGGTACAAAGGGGTTTCAAAAAGTTCATGGGAGTTTTTCACAATCTCTTTTTGTTTGTTTGTCTTTATCGTGCAATCCAATTTCCCCATCCTCATTTATGTAAGGGTAGGTGGAAGAGTATTGCTACAGCATCAGGTTGCTGTTGGGTGCCGTGAAGTAAGTTCTGACCCGTAACAATCCCCTGTGCAGCAACACAAAGCGCTGCCTGGTGTCGCGCTGTCCTTTGGTTGAGCCCATTGTTGCAGCTACGTGTCAGTCCATCTTGTCAAGAACCTTCCTCTTTTTCGCTGCGCCTCTGCTTTACCAAACAAGATGTCCTTCTCCAGGGACTGGTCTCTCCCGGCACCATGTCCAAAGTATGTGAGATGGAAGTCCCTTTATCCTTCCTCCTATGGAGCATTCTCGTGTACTTCTTCTAAGACAGAAGTTGGTTCTTGGTTCTCTTGGCGATCCGCGGGACTTTGGATATTCTTCACCAGCACCACAATTCGAATGCATCGGCTCTTCTCCAGCCTTCCTTATTTTTATGTGCATGTGAGGCGATTGGAAATACCATGACTTGGATCCGGTGCACCTTACTCCTAAACATCATGGAGACTTGTATTAAACCAGATAGTAGAAGCTTTTATTAAACCGATAATATTGAGATGTGAAGCTTTTGTTTCTCACCATATCCTTCAGCTAGGTCTATGGACCGTATATGATCATGTAGAAGCCGAGTTTTCCCGCACATTTTTAATGCCGTTTTTTGTGGTAAAATGAGGTGCCTCGGCTGATACTCGGGTCGGCTTAAAAATATTCAAGGATATAGGGTACTTTTGATGTCAGTGTTTCCATCTTGCCAACATTTCCATAAAGAGTGATGCAGTCTTTGATTTATACCACATAAAAATGACATTTTTGATGTCTATGTGGGCCTCAAACCACACTCCTGTAAAGTATTGTTTGAGTCTTGGAAACAATGAAGTCTGGAACGACGAGGCTGGAGGGTGGGCAGGGCAAGGTTGCCCAGCAAAATTCCCACAGGATAGCCCTTGCTGCTCCTGAAGAGAGAGCAAGCACATTGTCAGGATGGGGAAAATCTTTCTCGGCGTGAATTTCCTGATTTTTTTTTTTTCCCTCACCAATGCAGTTTTTAATTTTTAAAAACTGCTTTCTAGGAAGCCCTGTGATTCCTCTATACCACGTTACCTCTTGGGAACCCCCTCAGAAGAGCCCCCCAAAGCCTTCTGAGCGGGCCTCTGCCTTGGATTCATTTGTCTCAGCAGATCCCCTCAGAAGCCAACGTGTTACTAGAACGTTTTTTTTCTTTTGGACAACAGACTCCCTTGCAAGCCTAGACAAGAATATTACTGAGAGAACTTGTCTGTGGCCATCCACTGATTTTAGAGACATGTGTAAACTTGTTTTAAATTAAACAAACCTGCATGTATGAACTAGAACCCTAGTAGCAATGCCCTTAGGTTTACCCTCGTACATCCTTATCCATCCCCACTTCTTCTGGAAAACCTCCAGATGATTGGTCCCACCCCCTCTGAGCCCAGCCATCCACTGGCCCCTGTATCCCCATCAGCTCTGCCCTGATGGGTGGGAAAACTGGTCCTATGAGTCATTCACCCCCCTCCCTTTTCTTTTATCTTCTTTCTCTGGCTTTCTCGATATTCTTTGTATTAGACAAGCTCTAATACTTTGCATCCAAAAAGGTCTTCTCGCCATTCCCTACATGCACCATATGTCCAATAATTCTATTTTCTGTTATGAATGGTAATATTTGAAATCTTTTTCCATCACTTCTGCTGTTACCATTGATCTTCCTCTGACTCTCTGGGGTTCGCACCGGAGAGAGAAATGGGTCACTCTCCCTTGTCAGTAGTGGCAAATGGAAGGAAAGCTTACCCTGCTCTCTCCCTAGGGACATCACTTCACTGGTGCAGATACAGGCTGATAGGACGTACACTAAAGACACCTGGAAAATGTTACCCTTCCTTCCCCGTGAGCTGGTTTTTAGGAACTAGCATTCCCAGGTTTAGCAGGTAAAGCATGGTGCGCCTGGAACAAGGCTTTAATGTGCTGGCTTGCCTTGGGTGCTTCTTTTGGGCCTGGGCTGAATCAGCACACTGCACGCAGAACCAGGCGACTTCCCACAAAAGGAAAAGAATAAGTGACAAAAGGAAAGGACCCAGATCTGCATGGCATTGTGTGCCGGTCGCATTTCAGGGGAATGGTCTTCCTAGAGAAGCATTGGTGGTCATGTCACCTTGGAAGAGATGACTTCTCAGAAGACAGGAGAAGAAAGGCATGGTGCTATCATGTCATGACACAAATGTGCCCTTTTCACGATGTTTCATTTCAGGGAACTTCCCATTTTTATAATTTCTTTATTGATGTTTAGTCAAAAAGCACATTTTCTGCTTTATAGTTCCCAGGGATGATAGTAATTATAGTCTGTATTTTAATTGTTACTAATTGATATTTCGTAGTCGACAGTTAGCATATGGAAAAGGTCGTGACACTGAGAGCTTCACAGTTATTAGACATTGTTAGCCAGGAAACCATAGTGACAAATTAAAAGCCAAATTGGTAAGTGGTATTATTAAACACACAC